TTTTCTATTATTATTTTTGGCTTTTTGTTTCTTTGTTTTTGTTTTTGTTTTTTTAACAGGGTCTCCCTAGTTCCAGCCCACCTGAAAGTCACGATGTGGACCAGGATGGTCTCGATCTCAGATCCTCCTGCCTTTGCCTCCCAAAGACTGGGATTTAAAGGCTCATGCTTCACTCTTGGCTTCCCCTTTTATTAAGTTCAATTCCAGTTCCATTTTAATACCCTATTGTAAAGTATAGAATAGGTATTTTAAAGATTAATAGTCAGGGACCAGGGAAATGACTCAGCTAAGGCGCTTGCTGCTAGGCCTGACAACATGAGCTTGATCCCCAGGACTCCTGCAAGTTGTCCTGAGTAAAGCTGATCATTCCTATGATTGTTCTAGACCAGGGTTTGGCAGAATGAGCTCTCATCCAGATTCAGCCCATCGTAGTCTATTTGCCTGTAGCCCATGAGCTAAGAATGGCTTTCTCATTTTAAAAAAGTGTGTGTGTGTGTGTGTGTGAGTGTGAGTGTGTGTGCGCACACACACACACACACACACACACACAGTCATACATTGCCACAGTGTGTATATGGAGCTCAGTGGACAGTTTTGGAAAGTTGGTTCCCACCTTCTACCCTGTGGGTCATCTGAGGATCAGATTCAGATCATCAGACTGGCATACTAAGTGCCTTTTTACCCTCTTGAGCCTGCTCACCGGCCTGGCTTTTACATTATGACAAAAAGAAAAAGAAAAACCTAGAATATGCAACAGAAACTGTATGACCCACAAAGCCAAAAATATTTATTGCTTGGCTATTTACAGAAAAAGTCTACAAGCTCTTGGTCTCCACTGTTTAACTTTGTAATTCTACAGAAGAATTACAGTAACTAAAATCACTATAAACTTGGACTTATGAGGCTTCTGTACTTTCAGCTGACCATGGGAACAGCAAGTAGAGTTGAGCACAGCTGAGAAGGAAAGAGATGCCTCTTTCCCTTCTGCTTAGAAATAGATCAGAGGAAAAGATTAAAGATGTGAAAGAAATGGAGGTTATGTTTTTTGCCCCTTTGTCTTCTCAGATCTGTCGGGAAAGATAAAAAGGCTATTCAGGCTTCAATTAGACGCAATAAGGAAACCAACACCGTTTTGGCCAGACTGAATAGTGAATTGCAGCAACAATTAAAGGTAATGTCCTTTCTGAATCTTTACTTAAGAAGTTCCATGAATGGAAAGCATCTCGGTTTCAGGGGAAACTGGAGGTGATCCAACAGTTCTTACCAGCACAGGAAACTTTCCTGAAGCAAGAGAGCAGTGGTTATCTAAAATGTTTGTGCAAGGCCTTGTATCTTTTAGTACCACGAGGGGTTTATTTATTTATTTATTATTTTATTTTATTTATTTATTTATTATGTGTATGCGTGTGTTGCCTGCATGTAGGTAAGTGCACCCATGTTGTGCAATGCTGGCGGAGGTCAGAAGAGGCTGTCGGATCCCCTGGGACTGGAGTTACGGACAGTTGTTAGCTGCCATGTGGGTGTTGGGATACGAACCCAGGTCTTCTACAAGAACAACCAGTATTCTTAACCACAATTCTGATACATAGTGCCTTATCCTACATACATAAGGCATTACTCTTTGTTTAACATTGTTAACGTTCATAAAGAAACTTAGAGAAGACCTCTTGTGACCTCAGGTACCTCTGAGAGCACATACATGGCTATACATGGCTTTGCACTCCACATGATTTTTAGGCAATTCAGACTGCTGTTGGCTTATCCTTTCATCAAAGACATTCAGTAGTAGGAACTTAAACAATCTAAATAACTCAAATAGTGAGAAAGTTTAAATTAAAGAAAAGATAAGCCTTAAATAAAAAGGGTGTTTCATGAGCCAGTGAGATGGCTCAGCGAGTAAACACCTGACCACCTGGGCGGTGGGACTCATGATAGAAGCAAAGAACCAACTCCCAAAAGTTGTCTCTAACCTCTGCACTTGTGTTGTGGCATGCGCATGCCTACATATACACACACACATAATGTAAAATAATAATAAACTTTTAAAAGATTGCATGCAAAATGAATCTTTTCTTTGTGGAACTAAATTCAGAATGAGATCCAGGAAGTACTGTTATCAGATATCATCACTAGAGGAAAGAATCCATGTTAACAAATTCATCTGCAGTTTAAAGTGAAATATGTTTTTAAAATATGAGTCCCTGTCCCTGTCTTCTTGACAAATATAAATTATCTTGAAGAAGAGCTATTGTAGGATTTTTATATACTTTAAAACCTAACAGACTTTGCATCTTTTTCAGGATGTTCTTGAAGAGAGAATTTCCCTGGAAGTCCAACTGGAACAGCTCCGACCATTCTCTCACCTGTAAGCCAGTTGCCGTTAACTGTGAACACATCCATTTTTAAGCAGGTTTGGGTTCAAAGCCAGTTTGGAAACCCAAACGTTCAGCTCACTGCTTAACTGAACATTAAATTTAATGGTTCTGTTTTGCCCTGTATGTTCACCATTGTATTTAAGTATCTTTTATTTTTTAATTTCAACAATAAAAGGGTCAGGAGGACTTTTTTCTGGAGGGTGTATTGTGTGTGTGTTGGTATACCTCACCTTCCTGTTCTATAGTTCAGTACATAGTACTAGTTCCTTGTACTTGTGTGGCCAAACCCCATGGTGTTTTGATTTGTGGAATGGATTTCTCATTTAAATCTAAAGCACAAACTCAGACGTGTTTGTGAAAAAGAAAACAAAATCAAACTGTTAACTTATCTCTTTGGGGTTTAATATTTTACAGAAAGCATCTATATTCTATAAAAGTCTTTAAAATGAGTTTCCTATTCAATGTTTGATTTTAAAAATTGATGAGGGTTTTCTCAGAAGCGAATCTACTTTGTTCTCTCTGCCTTAACCAGCATTCTTCAGGAATCACATATAAGCTTACTGTAGGTACCAGCTCAGGTCAGGTTTTACATTTTCCTTGTCAGAATTTGATCAGGGCTGGGGAGATGGCTCAGTGGTTAAGAGCACTCACTGCTCATGCAGAGGACCTGGGTTCAGTTCCCAGCACCCACATGCAACTCACACGTGCCTGTAACTCCAGTTCTAAGGGTTCCAACGCTCTTGTGGCTTGCAGACACATACATACACATTACACATAAGTTTAAAAAAAATTTAATTTTAAAGCAAAAAAAATTATTTAAAAAAAAGAATTTGGGGCTAGAGAGATCGCTCAGTGGTTAAAGAACACTGACTGTTCTTGCAGAAGACCTGGATTCGAATCCCAGCACCCACATGGCAGCTAACAACTGTCCATAACTCCAGTCCCAGGGACTCCGACAGCCTCTTCTGACCTCCACGGGCATTGCATGACACAGGTGCACTTACCTACATGCAGGCAATACATACATACACATAAAAAATAAATAAGAATTTTAAAGTTTAAAAAAATAAAGGATTTGACCAATTTAACCAATGACAGAATTTTATATGTGACATTTTAATTTGACACCAGTGATATAAACTTATGAACTAACTATGAAGACAGGTCTTTCATTTTTGGTTTTGTTCCATTTGATTGATTGAGTTTTTTGAGACAGGGTCTCACTATGTAACCCTGGATGGCCTGGAACTTGCTATGTAGACCAGGCTGGCCTCAGTCTCACAAAGATCCTCCTACTTCTGCCTCCTAAGTGCTTGGATTAAAGGCATGCGCCACCACGCCTGGCTCAGATTTTCTTAATGGTGTCCTCAAGGGGAAGTGAAAGTGTAAAACCATTACCTAAGTGGTAGAAACCTCTACTTAAAACAGTACTGCTGTTTGCATGACTAGTGTGCCTAACTGTGTTAGAGGTTTTATAGTGGCTAGGAGCTTCACTCAGTTGGTAAAGTGCTTGTCTAACAAGCAAGAGGACCTGAGTTTGATCTTTAGAACCTAGTTTTAAAAACAAAAGCCAAGCATAGTGATACACTTGTAATCCCAACACTGGGGAGGCTGAGACAGGCAGCTTTAGCCAGGCATGGTGATACACTTGTAATCCCAAGGCTGGGGAGGCTGAGACAGGCAGATTTCTGGGGTTCTCGGGCCAGAAGAGACATTGTAAGGTGGAGGATACCTGAGGAATGACACCCAAGGTTGTCATTTTACAGAAAGAATTTTTAAACTTCTGAGGCTATCAGTTCACAGAAGAAATTGAGGTCACTTAAGATTTCTAGATAACCCTCAACTATCTTGTCAATCATTCTTTTCCATATAAGTAGGTTTTTGTTATTAAAGTTTCTGGAGTGTTCCCTAGACAAGATAATGTACTGTCTTAGGATTTGTTTTATATCATGTGATAGGTACATTTGGGTAGTATTTGTAAGTTTGCATTCATTGCAGATACCAGCAGATAGTGTGTGTTTGTTTGTTTGTTTGTTTGGTTTGTTTTTGAGACAGGGTCTCCCTGTAGCCCCAGATGCCTGGAATTTACTATGTGAACCATGATGGCCTTGAGATCTGCCTGCCTCTGCCTCTACCTCCCAACTGCTGGGATTAAAGGTGCCTGCCACCACGCCTGGCCTTTAGTCCTTTTAAAGGTTACTTTATGGTGTTATACTTTATTGATAATATTATAAATTACATATCATTAATATAACAGAATCAGAAGTATAATTTTACTCTAATAAAATAATGCAATTTAAAATTTTTAAGAATTAGAAAGATATTGTTTCAGTACTAAAAGATATTTAAGTATCCCAAGTTTACAATCCTTTACTGTACCAGTGGGTTTTATTACTTTAATATATTATGAAGCAAAAAGGGAAATGATAACTTAATACATCTAAGATTGATATATGTAACTTTCACGAGTCATTAACTACAAAAAGTTTATTTTTAGATGTTTGGTTTTGCAGCCAAAAATACTTCAGAATTAAAAATAAAACTTTTCAGTACTTTATAATGGTATATATCTAATGCTTTTATAAGGAGGACATTCATATTAAGGACATGTTTGACAAGTATTTGAGAAGCTACCATTTATATTTATTGAAATTAGCAATTGCTTCATGAAAATTTTGAAGCTGATAACTCATGAACAAATTCAAATACGTTTCTAAAATGCTTATTTAAGAAACATTTTTTTCATTCTGGTTTTTCACTAATCATTTTTTTAAACCTATATAATATCATTTCTGTCTTATAACTTACATCAGATTATTTTAAATAATATCCATGAGCAATAGCTCCCAAAAGATGTGGTTCAGAGTTTCAGACTCATTCTGATGGGTTGTCCCAGCTCCTCCATCCCATCGTCCATGACAGATAGCCATGTGTTCCCTACTGGGTCTTCTGAAGCAGAGACTGTGCTAGCCAACTTTCCGAGGACCCTCATGTCTTTTTCAAGTCTGGTCACTTCCCCACACTACTTCTTATGGCCTGTTGGAGCACCGACAACCACAGGAATTTGTCATCCGCCACCTCAGTAGCACAAATCCATTCATGTTTTGGACCCTGAAGAATGAATGCATTCTTGACATCTGTGAAAACATTTGAGGTTCACTAGTTAGTAATCTTCATGGGCAACAATCAAAAGGAAAAAATATTTTAAATTCAAGATCTGACCAACTAATCTTAGAATTTTTGAAACCTAAAATCAAGGATTCAAAATACATACAAATACTGTTAAGAACATTGCTTCAAAACAGTATTCTTCAAAACAAAACATTGCTAACAAAATTGAAATATATCATCAAAAATCCTCTTTGTAATTATTTAGTTATAATTCGCAATTATTAAAGACATTAATAGATGGTAGATGATGTGAAGATCTTTAATTCCTTTTTCAGTCCTCCCAGAAAGAACTAGAATCAATAAAAATCTTTACTGGTAGTTGTAGAGATGTCAAGAACTGGCTGAAGCAAGGCTTTTCAGAAGGGACTAACCTGAACAAAAGGACTGCTTCCCAGTAGCTTCAACCCTATTCTAAATCTGAACCTGAGAAAAATGAACACTAAGTGTGGGAATAGGTATTTTCACCTAGAATCGCTTTTCAGTACTGAGTATAGTTAGTGTAGGAAATATGTTTCTTTTCTTCAGTCCTCTTCCCACTAAGATAAGCAGCTGTGTTGATTGTGTAACAGCATTGCTTTACCTCACAATTCAGCTAAGTACCAAAGCTGGCTTTGGTCATTGGCCTTCATACCAAGGTTATCTTTTATAGAAGAACTCCTAGCTTATAAGGCCCTACGTTTATTCCCCAGTACTTCCAAAATAATAATAATAAAGATGATAATAATAATAGATGAAAATCTAAAATGGTGCTTTCAAGCCTGTAGCATTTCCAGACAATATAAGATAGTGGTTCAGAGCTCCAAATCTGAGAACCCATATTGCCTCACTGAACCCCTTCAGGTGATGTGGCCCTTGCCTACCTCTGTGACTCTGAAAACTGTTGTTGTATCTAAGATGTGTATCTCATAAGGCCAGGTTTCCTTTGTTTTGCTATTTCAGAAGCAGATAAGTTTCATGAAATCCCAGTGTTTAAGTAATTTCTTTGCAAACTGGAAAATTAGCCCTACTTGAATAATTTTATAGTTAATAAGTTTAGCTTTTGAAGTCTGCTGAAGGAAAATACGTACACTTGGAATCTGGGATATCTTCTATGAGTAACCTGGGGAGGGCCACTGATGCGATGAACTGGTAGGTTGTTTTTGAAGTCCTTTCAAATGGAGTATGAGAAATGCTTCTACTGGAAACGAGCAGTGCATCATTGAAGAGGAAGAAGCTGAGGTCACAGATCTGTTCATAGAGCCTGTGTTAAAGTGGAGAGAACGGCTTTCATGCATATGTGCTTTGTTGAACAATTAACCACTTTAAATTGATGTGCCTGTGGTTAAAACTTTATTCCAGCACAGAACCTATGGATGGCTCATGAGGGCCTTGTTACAGTGTTCCCCAGTCTCAGTCCAATCTTTCTGACATCAGGGAACCTAATGGAGTTATTTGATCTCATCTATTGGGCACGTGTTTCACAATGTGGGAAAAAAATGAATATTGAATGTTTGCTTCTCTATTAAATGAATCATATCATGATTATGTTTTAAAAGCATTTGTTAGGTTCGTTATTTTGTGCTAGATGTATTTGAGCAACCTCAGAACAGTACATTATGGTTTTGTTTCATCTGAGGGTATCAGGTTGGGTACTGTTAGATGAGAACGTGAGAACCAGCAGCTTGAGTTGTCTACTCTGAAAGCAGGGGAAAGAAGCATCTGAGTACTAGTTCGAAATGGATTTTAATTCCAGTTGGAAAGAAGAGTAACTTAGCTTTGTCAGTACGAAAGGTGAAAATTAAATAGTTCTTCACTTTTTCATAATATAGGCATAACACCCTGTAACTCCAGGTCCAGGGGATCTGATGCCCTCTTCGGACCGCTGTGGGCATTGCACAACATGGGTACACTTACATACATGCAGGCAATATACTTATACACATAAAATAAAAATAATAAAATTTTTTTAGAAAGAAGATACTTAAGTCATGTTAGTTACAGCCATACTTGCCTAAGAGCTGAACAGAAGACTGAATCGGGATTAAATTTTAGGTAAGGCTGGAGAGATAGCTCAGCAGTTAGGAACACATGTTTCTCTTGCAGAAGACCCAAATTCAGGTCTTCTGCAAGACACAAGGCAGCTCACAACCATCTATAGTATAACTCCCGATTCAGGGGGTCCAATGCCCTCTTCAGGCTTCTCTCGGCTCCAGGCATGCATGTGGTACACATACATGCATATAGGCAAAACACTTAGCACATAAAGTGGAGATAAATCTTTTACAAAGAAATTTCAGGTAGTACAATGCTTTAGGTTCATTTTAGATGCTTTGGGTATGTGAGTAGATAGAAATATGTGGTCACCCAATCACTAAAGCCAGCACTTCCATTCAAATATTTCCTTCCTGTCTTGGTTATGATTTATGCTGAAAGGGATGGATTGCTTCATACTTACTGATACTTGGAAATAAAAAAATAATAATGTTTTAGAAATCAAGTTGATAAGGCAGAACTAGAAATGGGGGCAAGAAGGAAACAAGAAAGGCATGGGGTGCAGTGTAAGTCTGTGGTGAACCATTGGTGGTAAAAGACTACTTCAGTGGACAAAAGGGTTCTAACTCACGTTCTTCCTTTGGGTGAAGTTTTTTTCCACATCACTGATAAGATTTTTTTTTTCTCGCTGTGTTTAGGTTTAGAAAATTTTTTAAATTGCAGTCAAACTTTGTTTGATAAGATCAGAAAATATGCTTACAGAGTGCTTTGAAGTACCATTGAAATGGGTGCTTGCTTTGGGTAAATAAATATTCAGCTTTTTCCCTTTAGAATGGACAACATTGAAAGTCAAAGTAAATGAAAAAGAACTCCATTTGTAACCCAGGTTGGCCCAGGGAAAGGATGGAGCCTCACTAACTCAAGTGTGGTCCCTTGAGGCTGTTGGTTACATGAGGACATGAGCAAGGGAAAGCTGAGAGACAAGGGAGTTCTTGCATCTCTGGTTTGAACCTGGAAAACACTTTTCAAAAGCTCTTTCCTAGATTCAACCTTCAAAGCTTTCACCAACAATCAGTAGATGGGACTCCCCAAGTTTTGAAGTTTTATCAGTTCCTCTCAATATGTGAAAGCAAATAATTTCACCTTAATATTGATGTGCTGGAACAGCTGGTACTTCAGGCAGCCATCTTCGCTCCCACCTAGAACCAGCTCCAGGGATTTTTTTTTTTTTTTTTTTCTGCTGAATTTGATAGGTTTTCATTGCATGTTTCCTCATCCAGATGGAACAGAACAGCTATAACATAAACTCTTAAACTCTGTTCCAGAAGGGACGTGTTACTGTTATTTGTTGCATCATCAACACAACAGACTGAGGAAAGCATGGGTACTCTTCTGCAAATGCATTAAACTTTGGAATTAACAGGCAACTGCAGGCTATCAGGTCATCTGAGAGAACCCAAGCTTATCCTAGTCTCGCCACATACACACAGAGGGAAGTCTCACCACATACATATCGCTGGGAAGTCTCAGTATATCCTATACCCTTGTGCATAGTCACCCTGTTAAATGACAGTAGTACCTATTGGGCAGGCCACGAGGAAGATTTATAGTATGTCTTTTTGGTAGGGCTGTAGAGCCCTTCCTTGAGGGAACCCTGGGTCTGAGAAGTGTGGACACCATTTGGTGATCCAGGCCAGACTCCTTTTGTCATCATAGAGGGCCCCACTTTTGTACTATTAATAAGACCAACATTGCAAGAAAAACAAAGCTTAAAAATTAGCAAACCCTGCTGGGTATGGTGACTCACACCTATAATCCCAGCACTTGGGAAGTGGAAGCAGGAAGATCAGGAGTTCAAGGCCAACCTCAGGTACAATAGTGAGTTCAAGGCCAGCCTGGCCCGTGAGACCTGGTCTCAAGAAAAAAGAAAAAAAAAAAAAGATTAAAGTAACAATAATGTATGAAAATTGGTACTTCCACCCTGCATGGTGGTGTACACCTTTAATCTTACCACTGGGGAGACAGAGGCAGGTGAATCTCTGAGCTCGAGGACAGCCTGGTCTATATAGTGAGTTCCAGGCCGGCCAGGCTCACATAGTGAGACCTTGTCTCTAGAAACCATAAAAAAAAAAAGAAAATTGGTACTTCTGAGAAAATTGCAACACAAAAAATTTCAAGGTGTATAACATTATAAAAGCTTAGCATACCTAAAACTCTGTTCTGTGTCCACGTAGCAGAAATGCCTGCCAAATTTTCTAGTTCTTATAATGACCAGCCTTTGTCTCTGCCCCAGAGTGAACATTTTCATGTAGTAAACATTTTCATGCAAACCTTTCCTCGTCACTACAGTGGCGTAGCAGTTGTTTATTATGTATTTTAGTGCATGTTTCCATGTTGGTGACAGTTACGAGGAAAGCTCATCTGTCTGTTTGGATCAGTGGAGCCCGCATCATCAGCACACTGAGACTAGGTTGTTAATTCCAGACTGGCATTTAATACCGTGATTTCAGGCAGCTTTTCTTTTTTGATTCTCACCTCCAGTTTTTGAGATATGACTTTATAGCCCAAGCTGACCTCATGCTTCACCTTCCTGCCTCAGCCTCCAAGTGCCGAGATTAGAGGTGTGTACCACCAGTCTGCTTTGACGATCCTGAGTCAGATTCCTGCCCATAATACAGATCCTGCCCTGCCTTCCTCCCCAAGTGGTTGTAGTGAATTTATCAAGACAGGTGTCAAGTATATGGTTAACCATAAAGTCTTTTACTCCTCTGAGGCTCCACCATATAAATGCAAGGCAGGGTATGTTTGTGTGAAGTAAAAACTCAATAGAAATCATTGGAGAGGCATTTCTTGGGTTTATTTGACTTTAAAATGGTAGGAAACCAGGTTGCTGGCTAAATATTGTCTGCTCTCTTTGGGAATAATGAACTTACTTTTATTTAACTTCAAATATTGTGAAATTATATATATTTATTGGCAAATAATATAAATGTAATCACTGCAAAGTACATATTAACATAAAGAGCTTGGAATTTGCCACTCCCACCACAGTTAAAAAGCAGCTGGAAAAACTCAGAATTGGCCAACTGAAGGTACAAATACAACATTACCCTAAAGCTGCACAGACAGAGACCCATTTTGTCAGAAGCAAGCTGCCCACTATGACCACCATGATGTGGAAATTCTTCAAGCACAGTTGACTAGTTGCTGAACATTGTTTGGCTCGCCTGAGTGGTTAAACCTCAGGGACCCTGACAAAAATTCAATTAAAAAAAATGTTCCATTTAAAAAAAAGAACTTCAGGGATCTTCACATGTGTATTTTTCCCCCAGGACTCACCCAGTTCTCACAATACAGAGCTCAGAGTTGAGAAGAGTCACCCTCTTTTTGGCTAGGGAGAGGGAAAAGTAGCCATTTTGAAATATGTTCTGAGAATTAACACACTCAAAAAAAAAAAAAAAAAACTGCCCTCAAAGGGCCTCAGAGCCTCAGCACCCTAGGAAAGGTGGACCCTTCACTCCAGCCCCTGTAGCCTTCTTGTTGCAAAGTGGAGCTCACCTGTAACCCCAGTCCTTGGGAAGATGTGACATGGTGACCACCACAAGTTCAAGGCTAGTCTGGACTGTATTGGGTTACAGGTCACCCTGGGTCACACAGTAATAAGAGAACTCCAGATCGCTTCCCTTCCTCTCACATCTGTCTTCCACATCAGTAGGACTACCATATAATTACAGCAGACAGAAAGCTCAGACCTTATTGAGGAAGAAGTTTTTAAGGCTGGACATGGTGACACTACAGAACAGACAAAAACAAGGACATCAGGGAAATGGAGCATGAAACCTCACACAAAAAGGCCCATTTCACTGATACTGTCTCGGCTTTCAGTAAAATCTTTTGAGGTGCACTGAGGCAAAAACCAGACTGAAAGCATCAGAACCAGACTGGGAAAGGGTAGAGATTTCTGGAACATTCAGATCAAGAATTGAATTATAATTAGTACATTAACGAATCCAATTTAAAAAGTGGAAAAAATAGAAGAAAACAAGGTAATAGAAGCAGAGTGATGGAAACTCAACAATTCAAAGGAAACATTAATAAGTATATATCATAACAAAGAATGTCACTGGTGGGCTCATCAGGAGACTGGATGCAGCTGAGGTAAGAATTAGTGAGCTTGTAGGTCTTAAACTGAGACGTGGGGAAAGACTGAGGTTGGAGAAAAGAAGACATTATCCAAGCGATGAGGCCAATTAAAAAACAACATACATATCATGGGAATACCGTATGAGGAGGAGAGAAAAGAACAGGAGAAAAACTCAAAGTGAACCTAAATGGTTGAACATTTTTCAAAATTATTGGCAGCAAACCATGGGCCCAGGAAGCTCAAGAGAACACAAACATACTTAGGCACAAGGCACTGTAATAGAAAATCAAAAACAAAATTTGAATCTGAAGAACAACAAAAACCTACAGAGGAATAAGGATAAGAACTACCTACATGGGACTTCTCTTCAAAGTCAAGAAGAGAATGGAGTACGTTTGAAAGGAGAGGGACAGCTCAGCAACCTCAAACTCCATAGCCAGCAAAATTTTCCTTCAAATGTAAAAGACAATTTCTCAAACCCAGAATTGAGGGGCTGCATTGCCAGGAGTCTCATGAAGAAAGGAAGCCTGTTCAAGAAGCAGTAAAGCACTCTTGAGGGTCCTGGATGCTCAAAAAGAAAAGAAAAATAAAGCATCTTCAGGGTCCAAGATGACCAAAAAAAAGAAGAAACGATGATAGGGCCGAAAAGGGCCAAACTGGGCCTGGTGTGTGCTTAAGGACAGGGCCATTGAGAAGTTCCTTATCCAGAACCGCTGCCCTCGGGGACATTTGTGAGGCAAGTGTCTTTGACGCTTCCCAAGCTCTTAGGTCAAGCTGCTACTGTGTGACCTATGCCATTCATAGCAAGGAGGTCAGGACTCGATCTCAGGAAGCCTGGAAAGAATGAACACCTCCACCACGATTTAGACCTGCTGGTGCTGCCCAAGACCTCTACCAAAGCCCATGTAAAGACCTGACCTCCTAACGACAGAAGAAAAACCATCTTCCAGGAAAATAAAATGGATTTTTTTTTTATAAAGAAGCAATAAAGCAATACATGACAATTAAGTGACCCCCAACCTGGAACAGCTAGCATGTCTCCTACCTCACTAGTGCGTTTAGACAGCCTGGTTTAGAAGCTGGCTTCTTTCCACTGCTATAGCTTTTTCCCTCGCTACTAACCAAAAACAGGACAACAAAAGGAAACAAAAATGCTAAGCCAGCGAGACCAAAGACACTGACTGTCATGATCGATTTTTACATGTTAATTTCAAGACAGCTTGGAAAATTCAGTCCTCTCCTTCCACTGTGTGGGTTCTGGAGATCAAACTCCAGTCATCAGTCTGAGTGACAAGTGCCTCCACCCACTGAGCCATCCCGCCTGTCCTTATTTTTCATTTAAGATCTTCCATGGGGATAGAAGTGAAGGAGTGATTTGTTCTATCTATCCCACTGCCCTGGTGCCTTTGGGAAATTTTTGCTGAAATAATCATTGAGATAAATCAGTTTTATACCTTTAACGCAGTTGGAGGTAATTCCCTTCCATTTGGTTGCTATGTGTTAAATCATTTATCTTTGCCCTTAAAACTGAAAGCATATTTTGGGCATTTTCTGAAGTAGAGATTAGCAAACTATGGTCTATCACTTGGTTTATAGTAAAGTTTTATTGGCACATAGCCACAGCTGTTCATTTATATTGGTACTGTTTATGAACAGAGGCTTTTTATTATGTGTTGCATCATATGTTTAACTATTTTGTGTGACAGCAGAGCTCACTGGCCAGAAAGTTGAAAATATTTACTCTCTGAACCTTTATAGAAAAACTTGTCCATCCTCATTCTAAAGGAGGAACAGAAAGACTAATTTATGGAGCTTGGCGTCTTTTTATCTTTTCTTACAATTCTCTGAGCATCATAAGAGTAGATACAGTAAGGTCATTTTTAGTACTGACTTGAATAGCTATCTGTGGGTGATAAAATGATCCTCTGTTTCTTTTAGCTGAGTAGAACATTGGTGTAAAACCCCAAGGTTGGTGTAAATGACCAACCTTGGTAAGTTCTGTGGGATTTGTGGTCTTGGTAGACACTGCTCCCTCTCATTCTACCAAAGATTTGCCTGGAATGCGAGCAAGAAGATAAAGTACCTGACCTTACCTCGGAGTGTGTGTGTGGAGCTTCTTTGTTCAAAAAAAGCTTCTCTTGACCACATACTAGGTCAGGCATTGTACTGAGTGCCAGGGATGAAAGATGAGCAAGAGCAGCCTGCTCTTCAGGAGTTCCCAGCCTCAGGGGAGCTAAGAGCTGCTCACCTTAAAGAGAAATCCATTTCCTCATCACAGCAGTGAAGTTGAGCTACATCTTGGCTCCTAATCAGATATCTGTTCACTTCTGATAGAGGCTATAAAATTAAAAAAAAACAGAAGAATATATAAGTTTTTAAAATTCTACTGTAGCCTGGCATGGTGGTGCACACCTTTGATCCCAGCACTTGGGAGGCAGAGGCAGGCGAATCTTTGTGAGTTTGAGGCCAACCTGGTCTACATAGCTAGTTCCAGGCCAGCTGGGGTTACAGGGAGACCCTGTCACAAAATAAATAAAATACTCTGTAGGGCTAGAGAGATGGCTCAGCAGTTGAGTGCACTGGCTGCTCTTGCAGAGAACCCAGGTTCAGTTTCCAGCCACCCACATGACAGCTAACAACCATCTGTAACTCCAGTTCCAGGGGATCCAGTTCCCTCTTCTGACCTCTGCAGGCATTGCAGGACACACATACATGCAGCCATTACACTCATACACACAAAAAAAGATAAAATATTTTTTAAAAATAAGATACTACTGTAGAACCATTCTGTATCCTAGAGCATGCAGATGTTGACTAGAACTCAGTTCAGTTATGGAAAAGTGAATGTTTTCATGGTTTATAATACAAGCTTTCTTTAAGTATACCAAATTGACACTGAAAGTTATATTTGAGGCTGTCGGGTTTTTAAACTGCTGCGATGTTTGTTTGTCATGCTTTCCTAGTGTCAAAGAACAAAGTCTGGGAGGGGTGAAATGAGCTGTCATGAAAAGGAAGCAAATGAATTGGTGCAGATGAAGAAGCCAGGCTCCCTGCGTTGCTCTGGCCGTAGGGATGATTTCTTGGTGGGAAGAGAGGTCCAGAGATGAAGTTCTGTAACTGAGTTCTAAGAAGTGCACTTTGGAGCTCGCCCCACTTCTCTTTCCGTACCAAAACATGTAGATTGAAATGACAATAAAACAACTCGATCTTGTTTCCCCAATTTAACCAAATAAAAAGTATTCCCAATTAATGAATACTTTAATGCAACATCATGCATATATCAGGCTTCTACTGAATGTCAGACACTAGAAAACAAGTCGCAGCTCACACATGGTGGGGCACACCTTCCTGTGCAGAGCCACCTGACGGGGATGTCCATGGAGCTCTGAAACACCAAGAAAAGGACAATTCGAGGCTGGAATGTCAGGGAAACGTTACAGAAAAGATAATGGTTGCTCGCATTTTAAAAAAGTTATTTTACATGTGTGAGCATGTTTGTGATTATGTGTACATGTATGTGGGTGCACATGTGTGTGCCTCCAAATACCCACGCACACACAAAGATCAAAGGGGGACATTGGGTGTCCTGTTCTACCACTCTGCCTGATTCCCATCAGCCAGGCTCTCTCACTAAACCTGGAGCTAGGCTGGCAGCCAGCAAGCCGCAACAATTCTGCCTTCACCCCACATAGTGCTGGAGTTATAGGTACCTGCATGTAACCATGCCTGGCATTTTACATAGGTGCTCAGGATTCAAACTCAGGTCCCCATATTTCTGAAACAAGAACTCTCCCAATAAGCATCTCCCCAGACTCATGAGCTCAGTTTTTTAAGGGTGAATAGCAGTTAAGCAACTTCAGAGAAAGACTGTACAAAGAACAACTGATAAGAGGCTACCACATTAAAGGATGGAGAATGCACGTGTGTGATAGACTCCTTAGTGATAGCGGAATCTGAATGATAAAGCAATCAGATGAGTTTCCAGAGGTAACAGATGGCTAACGGAATTTCCGAGTATTTTGAGATATCCTCAGTGTGTTGACTTTTGCACCAGGGACTGTATGCAGTGAGACAGAAACCAAGTGGAACACATAACTGGCTGTTCAGCTCAAAGGGCGTTGTGAGCATGGTACCACCGATCAAGGAACTACACCCATGTGTAAGACCACACCCACATGCACATCTTATAGAGCATCTTTGCAGACAACAGGTGTGTGTGGAGGCCCTGCAGTGCAGGTGGCTGCAGGCATCCCACAAAAGTTGGCTGCCTTAGGATCTGCATGTCTCTTTTTACCAGTGATGAGGTTATACTCAAGAGCATGAGATGGAGCAGGAACATCGGAATACATACAGGGCACCCCCAGACCTTGGTCTGTAGATCCAACAGCTGCTCTTTCATTTTGATGTTCTCCTTTATCTAGAAAACAAAGTTATATTAGGCAAACTAAAATCATGACTTTTTCACATTTTATGACCGTAAAAGACTTGGTATTTTAATTTTTAAAAATCTGAATTTTCTGGACCTAGTATTTTTTTTTATTTTAAGTTATTTTTTTTTAATTAAAAGAAGCATTTCATTACAACAGCATTAACCTATTCAATAACATTTTTCTGAGCTAGGGTACATCTCTTTCAAAATTGGCTATACATTTTTAGGTTTACAGATGAATTATTACGCTTATACAATCTTTTACTCATTATAAAGTCTATAAGACATAAAATTAAATGAGGTTTTAACGTTTAAAAAAGATCTCCACTTCGTTGTTAAAATACACAGTTTCATACATAAAAATTCATTTAAAGGCAATTGACATTGAGACGTTTTCACATGCATTTCTAATCTCTATATATATGACTATTACTGGTCACAGTCACTTACTTTCTGAGTTCCGTGGCATCTGAGTATGAATATAAACTCGTCAGATAAACAGCCTTTCAGGTAGACAGCCTTCCTCTCCCACTAGAGCCTCCATACTCTGCTATCCCTGCCACTGTCCACTGTGCTGTCAGCACTCCCACCCATTCCCCCCTATCTGCCCTTCTGGTAAGTCTAGTCAGCCAGAGGTCCCTGTTCCAGGAGGATCAGCTGTTCCTTATCAACGGCAATCCATTGTCAGTATTCCTTTGGTTAGAATTGGGGACCTAGTATTTTTTTAAAAGGCAAGTAACAAAGTTTTTCAGAAAAAGATGCATTTTGGAGTGTCATGTGCTAATTGTTTATATTCAGTCCACTCATCTGTTCAGTATGCACAGAGAACAATTAAGAGAACTATATTTACTGTCAGGAACGAGAATTGATACCTTGAAAAATGCTTTTGGAACCAAAAGATTATACATTTTTTTCTTTTGGTTATAAAAATCCAAATTTTGAACTTCCACATTAGAAAAGGTTTTACTGCAGTGTTGGGAACATGGCTTAGTTAACAGAGTGCTTGCCTAGCATGCATAAAGCACTGTCTGATTCCAAGGACCACATAATCTAGGTGTGGTAGCCCATGTCTAGAGTTGGAAGCAGGAGAGTCAGAAGTTCAACATAATCCTTGGCTACATGTCCAGTTCAAGGCCAATCTGGGCTACATCAGACCCTAAGAAATAAAAGGAAAAAACACGTCTAGAGTTGGAAGCAGGAGAGTCAGAAGTTCAACATAATCCTTGGCTACATGTCCAGTTCAAGGCCAATCTGGGCTACATCAGACCCTAAGAAATAAAAGGAAAAAATGTTTCACTGTAACTGTTCAGTTACCTGAAAACATTGCCTCATGTTTTTCGGCTTAGAATAGAAGCCTGTAATGATCAAAATCACTGACCAGAGCTATGGAGTTCTCTTTAAAGGGGTGGAAAACTGAAGTAAAGACTACCGCAGAAAAGAGGGTAGCTCAGGGTCTTCAGGTAAGAGCACCACGAAAACACTGAAACATTTAAAAGTATTTTTAAAGCCACCCACCTTATCTATATAGCCTTTATATTTTTTGATTTGATCGACTGCAGTGCTCAGGTCCCCACGGTCTGCATGCCCTGCAGGAGTATGGAGCCTCAGAGCAGAGAGGAGATTAATGTATTCTTCAAATCTCCGGGATGGGTACAGAAGCAGGTCTGGAAGGCTGTAAGGGGCAGAGGGAAGGGGACCCTGGTCTCTATCGGTAGGTTAAGGAGAGCCTGTCCCGTGGTACCCAGCTGTGTTCTCCCTGTAAACTCACCTGAGCATTTTAGTAACAATGGTCTTATCATGCCTCTTCAGGAAAGCTCTGAATGCTGGTGTCATTTCTCTGCACTAAAAGGTGAGAATCACATTGTCCAAACTATGCATGATTATTTGTAAAGCCTGTGTTCCACCAACAAGTAATGATCTAGGGAATACTCAAAGAGGCAACATTTCCATCTAGTCAAGGTATTAACAGTCATTGATTTCTCCTAATATATTAGTGTAGTATATTAATTATACCACAGACATAACCATATCCACTGAAAATAATAAAGAGGAATGATAACAGATTTTGCAATTAGATGGGTTTGGACTACAACTAGAATGAGTTGAATAGTTGACCTTGTCAAGTGACAACTTCTCTGAGCTTCAACTTTCTCATCTGTAAAATAGATACCATAGTTAACTCATAGTGTGTATGTGTATGGGGCCCTATCCATAAAGTGCCTGCCACATAATAAATCTTCGTTTCTGTAAGAATTTATTAAATGATAGTCGCCTTTAATACTGCTATCAATATGTTTTCCAGAGTAATGTTATGAAAGTACTCCACTACACTTAATATCCATATCCATTTTCAAATGTATTCATTCTTTGTCCTAGTTCTTAGGTACATGTCTAAAAGATATCAATAGCACTCAATTCTGAGTCAAAGATTCACTAATTTAGAGCCTCAAGAATGTTTTAGAAACAAGGCCATTTATACCTGGGAACAATTTAAAGCCTTTTTAAAAAAAGTTTGTTGGTACCAATAAGAATAGTTATGATAACCAAATGTATTGAAGTTTTGTGCACACACTATGCTAATAAAGTAGGCATCAGTATTCATGATTATAGAAGTTTGTTACCCATTTGTTTCTGATAACACTCTTTGCTCTAATTCTTGGCTTCAAAGTCAAGAATTATTCATGCAACTTTTTCATTAATCATATTGTCCAGAGAACTGAGCTTGCAGTGGCCCCAGCCTGTATCCTTAGAGCAGGATCAGAGCTCACAGTCTTCTTTCAACCTAATTATTCTCCTGTCACTGAGCCACAGAGCAGCTGGGACATGAGAATCCAGCAGTGTGTATGGAGATTCCTGCAGCATAGCAATGCATTCCTGAGCGATGCTGTGTGTCAGCCATTGTGCGAGCATCTCCGTAGAGGTCCCTGTTCTCCATCATCTCAAAGTACATGGGAAGAGATCTGGGAACCCACAGCTGAGAAGCAAGCAGCGCTTTTCATTAACTTCTACCACTTAGATTGCACACTAGAAGGTGTCGGTAACACAACTAACCACTTACCTTCTCAATGGTTTTCAGAACAACAGAGTAATTGTTGAAGAAATTGGTATATATGTTCAACTGGCTTCCAAATTTTATGAATATTTCTCCCACACAGTGGGCTGGGCCCCATTCTTGTAGTCTGTCTCTCAAGTTATCCAGAAACTCTCTGCAATGTGAGAAGAGCATTATCTTGAAAGAGGAGCCTGTGATAGCCTCCAGGCTGAAGCCATAAATTTGGTGGTGGTGTAGCCTTTCCAACCCAATCTTTTTTATGGTAAGACTTGATTTTGATCAATTGAGTTCTCTACCACAGAGCAGTGCGGATTTGACAGGACAGGGGAGTTACCGTGGAGGATCCCACCTCTCCACCTTAACTGGCAGAAAGCCCGGATGCCCACAACAGAGCCACTCCTGAATATGTGTAGGGAAAGAGCCAGACCAATGGACGTTTTCAGAGCCCTCAGCTCCAGCAGCCTTCAGCGCCAAGTGCCATGACTTGTACCCAGCCCACACCCCATGAATCCAAGGTGACCCCCTCCCAGCCATCCAGATCATGACAACTGATCAACTCTTCACAGAGCTTGCTGCGCCTCGGTGGAGCTTTTGAAACAGAGTGAGTTCTTCCCACTGCCCAGGGAGTTCTTTTTAAAAGCTCGGCCCTCTGGGTTTACCTGTTGAGATTTAAGATCCGCAGAGTATCGGAGAAAATGATGTGGATGTTGGCGGCGCTCAGAATGGCTCTGTTTGACGACAGTGCTGCTCTTAGGGGCCTGGCGTACACATCCCTCACGATTCCCAGCACCTGCACGTACTGCCTCTCGCTCTCTAACAATTCCCTCACAACTCGGGTTCGCCTGTCTGAGTCCATCTGGAGTTTTCTTTCCTGCAAACAAATCAGGAATTCAGGGGAAAGAAGCCTGAGAAGGGGGCAGCACACAGAACGGGGATCTTCATAAGGGAAGGTGGTGATGGTGCAGTGGTGCCAATCTAGATGCAACAGTTCAGTCACTTAGTGGACAGAGGCAGCGCTTGATGGAGGCTGGGTCAATGGCACATTGGGCAGGCAGGCACAAAGGCTCACAGTCATCTAAGGCACACTGCTGCTGCGATAAGCTGAAGCCATCCCTGATGGGTCCGACCACAGGTGGAAGTGAGGCCGGGCTAAAGTGAATCTGGGCCTTTCTTCCAGAAAGGGGGTACTCTCAGAAACCACGGGGACAGACGCAGGGGGTGGAGGGAGGTGGGTTGAAGGCCGCCCACCACATTTCGCCTACTGAGAAAGCATTAAGGTAACAGGTACAAGAAGTGGCCGCTGGATGTGCACAAGCACAGTCCTCCCCCTAGATGGCTTGGCTGACGTCAGATGGGGATGGTGTGAGGAAACACCCTGTGAAATGGGGTGAAAGCCCCCTTCTTCCTGGAGTGGTAGGAGCACTTCTTTCTCGCCTTATATTCCAGAAATAAGTTTACTCTCACTGTTTTAACAAAACAACATAAAAATTCTTGCTTATCTGTTCTATTAGGGACTTTCAATGCTTTTCAAAAGACTTTTTTTTTTTTTCTTCTAAAGATCAAGCCCACACCCTTGCACTTGCTAAGCAAACACTCTGCCTCTGAGCCTATACCCCTGGACCTTCAAGGACAATTTTATAATTTCTCTACACAGCTCTTCTATGAAATCCGTCCCTAAGAAGAATTAAATTTCTCCCAAAAGAAAAACGAATTCTAGGCAAGACATGGGTGTACACACCTCTAATCCAGCATTTACAATGCTGAGGCAAGAGGATCATGAGTTCAAGGCTAGCCTGAGCTACACAGCAAGACCTGTCTCGAAACCAGGGCCTGGAGATATAACTCAGGGGTAGAACACTTGAGTAGAATGACTCTGGGTTCAATCCCTAGCATGCCCCCCCCAATTTTAAAATTAATTCTAACCAAGTGTGGTAATATAGACCTGTAATCCCAACACCCAGCACCCAGAAGGCTGAGGCAGTTACTACCATTCGCTTATGATCAGCCTCATTGCTGATTCTTGATGACAGATTTGGGAAAGCATGAGAAACTGTGTCCTGAGATCAAGGCTTGCCCTGGGTACCCTCCAGGTATGATGGGGCTGTAAAGAGCACTAGATCTAGGTCTGAACTCAAGGCCGCAGAACTCACACTTTTCTCTCTGATTGTTTGACCTCAGGTAAGCTACTTAACTTTTTCAACTCTAGTGTTCATCTGTCAAACTGTAGATACTAATATTTATCTTAGAGTCTTCTGAGAATGAAAGGTAACAAATGTATAATCACGTTGAAATTTCCAAAATAGTATGTACATGCTGTGCATTTCAGTTGACAGGCAGGACCAACCTCTGTGTGCAGCAGCCCCACTACATGCTGCCCTTTTCACCCGGAGGCAGAACTGGGTGAAACTATATTGAATACAGTCAACTTTTAAAGTTATATTGTAATTTGGTGGACTAATTAGAAACTGTATTTCTTTATGTCTGAATGTCATTTATTTTATTTTTTATGTGTATGAGTATATTGCCTGTGTGTGTATAAGTGCACCCAGGTCATGCAATGCCCATGGAGGTAAGAAGAGGGTGTCGGATCTCCTGAAACTGGAGTTACAGATAGTTGTTAGCCACTGTCTGAGTGCTGGGAATTGAACCAGGGTACGCGGCAAGAACACCCAGTGCTCTTAACAGCTGAACCATCTCTCCAGCCCATTTCTTTAAATGATGTCCCAGTTGTAGAAAATCATGTGGTCACATACAGATTGGTTTTCTCCCAACATGCCACACACCTCTATCCTTTGGCTCAACTTCTTTTGAGTTCAAGGTATAGTTAACAGAAAAAGAAAATCTACCAACTGGATTTTACTCAAGAATGGTTAAGTGGTTGATTGGTTGTTTCTCTCCCTAAGGGAAATTTCCAAGGAAAGCAAAAAAAACAGAGTAAATATGAATCTTCACTGTCAGGCGCAAAACAGACAGTACATTCCTAACAGGTAACAATTTGGCTTACCAGCTTAACTAGCACTTCAACATCCAGATCACTTTGGCTTAGACTTGACTTTGTGTCCTGAGAATTGTCTTCTATGGCATTTCTTTCCTGAAGAAAATGGAACTTCATTATTTGGAGGTGGGCCTTGGAGTCCCTGAAATCCCATATAAGGCTATTGGGAACTATATCTTCAGCCCTCATCACAAGCTCCCTAGACGCAGTGAATTAAGCACTTGAGAGATATGACACCTCTCTTAAACTAAGATTTATGTTTTTAACAGCATCCTTTAGGCTCGAGACATAGTTCAGTGGGTAAAAGTGCTTGTTGTGCCATCATGAGGACCTGAGTTTAGATCTCTAGCACCCATGTAACTAAACAGGTGTGGCAGTGCCTGCTTGTAAGCCCAGCCCTAGGAGGCAGAGGTAGGGGGATCATTGGGACTTGCTGGCCAGTCTAGCCAAAACAGCAATCTCTTCATTCAGTAAGAGACTGTGTCAAAAAAAAACACAGAGAGAGAGAGAAAATAAAGGGGGTGGCTAGAGAGATAGTTCAGCAGTTAAGCGCACTGGCTATTCTTGCAAAAGACCCGGGCTCGGATCCCAGTGACCACATGGCGGCTAACAACTCTCTGCAACTCCAGTTCCAGGGGATCTGACAACCTCTTCCGTCCTCCAAGGCCATTACACGACACAGGTAGACTTGCAAACATGCACACAATACACATATACACATAAAATAAAAATAAAACCAAAAAATTAAAAAAGAAAAACAAACAAAAAAACAAGGTGAGTGCCAGGTGTGGTGGTTCACACCTTCAGTCCTGCCACTCAGGAGGTAGAAGCAGACTAATCCCTGTGAGACCAAAGCCAGTCTGGCCTACATAGCAAGTCCAGACTAACTGAAGTTACCAGGAGACCCTGTTTCAAAAAATAATAAAACAAAACAAAACAAATAATAATAATAACAATAATATGAATAACAATAGAAAAAGACACCCAATGCCAACCTTTGGTCTCCACACATGCACACATGGACATACTGGTATGGGAACAGATGTGTACACACACATACATACAATAAAAATTTTAAAGAACAAAAAAAATAAGATAAAAATAAAAGCATCCTGGTGGGTTGTGCAGCCCAGGGAAGACACCAGGGCTGACCTCTCACCCAGAATCACCACTGCTGCCTGATCCTTTGCATCCAGACCAACCCAGTTCCCTCTTGCAGTCCCTAGGATCCCTCTGGGCCTGGGCCTGCCTCTTCTTCCCTGGGCTACACAACCCACCAGCCTCTTTCCTGGATAAGTCCATCAGTGCCCACTGTACCTTGACTCCCCCAGCCTCATTCAGCCTCCCACCTCCCCCACCAAGTCTCTCCTCCTTGCCTGGGTACTGGCCCATTTCTTCTCTTGGCACCCCAGAAACCGGGGCTGACCTCTCTGCTTGGAGCCACCACTGCTTCCTGATCCTTTGCATCCAGACCAACTCACTTCCTCACTGCAGACCCCAGGAGCCCTTGGGGCCCCTTCCCATCCCAACCTCCCTTTGCATTCCTGGGTGGCACGGCCATCAGTTGCCCAAGACCAGCATCTTTCCTGGGCCCTGCTCCCAGGCCAGTCCAACCCCCAAATTCCTGAAGACAACATCTTTCCTGGAGGGATCCAGTCCTTAGGAGAAAGCCTGAGAGCATCTGATCCTCATCTGACTTGGGGCTCTGTGGGAACTCACGAACACAAAAGCAGTCTGGCCACTCCAATATGAAATCAAAAAAGAGAACCAGAAGCTTAGATGTACCAGCTTCTCATGCCCAAAAGGTAAACTGCAAAGACACATAAAGTTTACAAAAAAAAAAAAAAAAAAAAAAAAAAAAAAAGGGTCTCACACAAGAATCAGAAACTACAAAAGAAATTCACATGTCAAAATCACAGAGAAA